TTCAAGTCATCTACTTCAAGAAAGCATGGACGGGGCTGTTTGGGTGTATTTACAAAGGAACTTCCTAGTTTAAGGGATCAAAACCCAAAATCGCTTTCGACTACAAGATCGTTTTTCTTTCGGAAGATAACAAACAAAAGAGTTTACTTCAAATCTTGGAGAAATTAATGAACCAGAGAGGAAAATAAACTTATAAAGATGAAAGCCAATGAACTCATAGTATATTAAAAGAAGGATGAAGGGGGCAAGAATGAAGAACAAAAATACTCAGATTGGGGGGGACCTGAGGTCAGAAACAACAATGCTTTTCGGTAATGGATTGGGGCCAGGTTTTAAAAGAAGAAACAAACTGTTGGTTGGTCCAATCGTCTGCGACAAAGAACCTTCTTTATCATATCTTTCGTCTCTCCCCAAAAGAAAGTTTAGATTCCATCTAGGATTTTGGATTAGGACAATTTTAGGTCCCTTAGATGGATGTTCTGTGCTTTAATCTATGGGACGGTGGTTTGAAAATGTAATGGGTGCATCAGTTTTCACACACCTAGAGTTCCCTCTGAGCATCATTCATTAACAAAACAGACAATGCAGATGCTGCTTCCTTATTCGTCTTGTTTTTGGAAGTTATTTCGGGATGGTGGCTGCAAGGAATAATGCCTCAAGAGCTATTTTATGGTTGATTTGGTAAGAAAGGAACAATATAATTGTCAAGGACACAGAAATTTTAGAGAGAGTTGGAGTTGGTACTATGTTTCGTCTTTCTTTATTCAGAGTAACACAAATGTTTTGCTTACTTTTATACTTTTGATATCAATTTTGGATTGGGGCCTTTTATAACTTCCCCTCTCCTTGCCTTTTGTTGTTGTACCTCCCTCCAAATTTTGAAATAAAATCTCTGCGTCTCAAATTATAATAAAAATAAATAAAACCAAAATAGAAGGAACACCATGGAAGTTCGCTTTTGGCAACAATAGCACCTTGAATTGCTTAAAGGATCTATACAATAGGCTATACCTCATTACTCGGTAATAGCAGAAGGATCTTTCAGAAGATCTTGTCATCGAACATGAAAGATAATTAGATGTCAAGCTCAACGAAACTAATAAAAAGATGGCAAGGTGTTTCCTAGGACCCAACAATAGCATTTCATTCGCTTTTGAACTCGGAAAATTTTCCTCAGTTTTTCAGTCAAATGAGATACTTTGTATAAGCATGGCCTATAGGAACTTTAGATTTCTCAGGTCTCCACACCAATGCAGGACATGAATAAAAAAGAATAAATTATGATTTCTCACCTTTAGTTTTCTCGTTCTGAAGATACTTCAAAACTCCATATGCAACAGTTCCAGCAACAAACAGAGAAACGGTTGGTGTAAAGGATGGATACAAATATTTGACAAGGAACTTATCCCACTCTTCCGGTAAGAAACCTGAAGATGCACACGACATATTAACAATTATAGTTGCAGTGAATCAAAGTGAAGTTGAAGCATGGACTATGAATATTGCACTAATGAAAGAAATCGGACATTGAATTTGTAACACAGACTAAGTGTATATTCATTCCAGTCAAATAAAATCATGAGAGTATGTTTCTTCCCATATTTAGAGGCATCAAAGAATTCAAATAGTATAAGAAATAGAAAAAAAGAAGTCCCGACATAAACTATGAAAGATAAGAGCTATTACTTTCCATTAGTTTGATGGTAGAATCAACAGCAAATGAGGTATGTTGTATATTTTGAAATCGCAAGAAAAAAATCCGAAGTGTCAAACCATTGAACTCTAACAAAAGATTTTAATCAAGAAAGTTCCAAAATAATGGTTTTCCGAAAAAAACCATAGCTAAAGAACAGGCTTTGAACAACTAGAACTTCTTAGATAACAAAATGGAGATTGCCCGACCTCATTCTCTTCTCCTGAGATACAAAAGATCCACTAAACGAACCAAAGAAGGTACAGCACCAACTCTTAACCGCAATGTAACTCTGTTTCTCCAAGAAAAACAATCCAGTCCACAAGTCTCATTTGGCATTTGGAAAGTAGGATTGGATGTGCCATCTTACAACTCTCATTGAAAGCACATTTGTTTGTTGAACCCTAGAATCCTAAATTTCAAAGTCGTAATCAATTAGCCTCAATTGCATATCAAGACCTGCGTTATTTGTTCTTATCCAGCTACATTAGGTTTAAGGATATCAAATGGAAGTCAATGCCGGGAAGATATTCTGCCAAACCATTCATTAGAGGAAAAATTTCAGAAGAAAAACGATCCAACTGAGAACCTATCTAAAATCCGAAAAGAAGAACATTTCTAACGACAAAAGTAGAAGCCCAAAGGAAAGCATCACAACCTCCTTCCCTGAAACACTGCTATCCTCGGAAGACCTATTTCTTTCGTGTTAGAAGAACCACAAAGAAAAACCGCGTCAAAAGGAACCTCCCTCAACCCATAAAAGCATATTTGAATAACAGCATATTATGTTGAATAATTGGATTCCCATTCCAATGGAACAGTGAAAGATGTTAAATATAAATGAGCAGTAACTTAGGCAAATTCTAACGGCACATAGCAAACATGCTTCTAAACAAGAGTAGTTCAGGGTCTTCCAGATGGAATTAACCTTACATTTAAAAAACTTCGGAATACAAGGCCAGCAAAAACATAAGCAACTTATTTCGATTGGAAGATTGTACACCAAACTATGCTGTTTTTTACATATTAATTACAATCTCTTATAAATTATCACTGTAAAATATTTATGCAATATATTTGTTAGGGGAAAAAATCTAGAGCCTGCAATAAGTTGTTGGTACAGGAAAACCAAATCAACCATCAAATTGATGCTATCCCAGTACATGCATTGACATGCCAGGGGAGAGGAGGACAAGGAGAATCTAATCCACTGTTAAAGTTCAGCTTTCTTTCACTGAAGAATATATATACAACGACTGGAGAACATCACCAAAAGAAAGTAACAGAACTCTTACCCCACCAAACACCTGAACAATGAGAACATCACTGTAGATCCACACTCGTCTTACATCCTTCACTAGCAGAACTATGTGCATCACATTACCTTAGTCATAAATGATTATGAAAATTTGCCTTATTTTTATTCTTCAAATATGAACTTCGAGACTGAGAACTATTGAAGAAATACCATTGCCACTCACAACACGAAATGAAGGGGGCCTAGATTATAATATTCTTCATTTCATAAGTCAACTGTTTCACGTTTTCAATTTTTTCACTCTAATGAAATTCCAATAACCAGACAAAAGTTTCAACCCACCACCTTACCCAACTAGAAATTCCTCCAAAGCTCGCCTAATGTTCGAAATTCGGTTTCAGACTTCTTCCACGTCCTAGTGAAAGAAATCCGACTTGAATCGTATTTTGACAACTACCACATCTCAGACAAACAAATTATTTACACGAAACCCAGGCAAGAAAGAGAAGATGCCCCCATCGAACTTGGAAACTGCAACATCAATTTTAACAAAACACAATTACGAAGTTCAAGAGCTCGTACCGGATGCCGCGAGCACAATGCCCTCGACGAGGATCACAGCACCAAGACCCAACCAAGTAAGAAGAAAATAGCTCTCATTCCTGCCCTGCTCCTTAGCCGCCTCTTCATCTACCTGTCCAACAAACACCGGTTTCTCCACCGGCGAACGCCGAATAATCGATGCCCTCTGCCGCTTGCCCTTCTGCTTCCCCTTAGAAGGAGTGGCCTTCGGACTCAATTTGCTTGTTGATTGAGTCGGTGAAGAACCAAAACCTTGAGCAGATGAGCTCGACGCCTTGGATGACGTCGCAACTGAAGCATCATCAACAACCTTCGAAATGAGCTTCTCCGACTCCGACTCCGACGAATTCTGTGATTTGATGACGAAATTACGTTTTGAGGGAAATTGAAGAGGTATGGTGGGAAGGCGATAGGGTTTCCTGGTGAAAGAAGAGGGAGAGTGGGGGATTATTTGTAGCGCCATTTTCAGTTTATTTGGTTAAGGTTGGTTCAGTTTACAGTAATGGAATCCATTTTTTCTTCCAGTATAAAAGTTTCCATAATTACATTTTCTCCCTCAAGTTCCTGAAATTCCTCCACGCCCCCTCAAAAAAAATTGAGGGTTTGTTTCAACTTTCAATTAAAATATATATATATCTCCCTCTTTTCTTTCAAATTCAATATTTTGGTTATTTAAAAATAGCAGATAATCGCCTTATATTGTAGATATTATTTTATAATTCTATTGAAAAAGAGATTCCTTCTTATCCTTTTAGAAAGAGATTAAATTTTATTATTATCATAAATTAAAAAGAAAATGCTAAGTATTAAAAAAATGTCATTGCAAATATAAAAGAGGAATAAAGTGTCATCATATTAATCTCCAAAGAAAAACAGAAAATTAATGAAATATTTAAAATCTATTGAATAATCATTTAGGTTTAAGTTAGTTATTAAAGAATTATAATTTAAAATTAACAACTAAAGTATTAATATTTCAAACAACATATCAACATTTTCATGTCGACTTTAACATAAGGTGTGAATCAATATTTTCCTGCCTTCGCGAAAAGATTGATAAAATATCACTTATGTATTTTTCAAGCGAAGTTTGTGAGTTCAATTTGTACTTCAAGCAAAAAAAAATCTAACTTAGTTTATTTGTTAATTTAAACAATTTTATAAATTTTTTCTTTTTATAATTTTTTAAAAAATATCTATTTACTTCACAAAAATTGAAATTTCAACATTTCAATTTTTAGGTTACTAATGATCCCATTACTTATTTAACCTATAAGAATCGACACAAAAGAATCTCAATTAAAGCACCACTCAATCTTCAAAAGCATTGCAACATAAAAGATTTGTTTTATAATAATCATGGTACCCAAAAAGAGCTTGCAAAATTTTTTTTTTTTTTTTAGTGTAAAACAGAACTTTTATTAAGATAAATAAAATAGAACAGCCATTACAAAGAATGCTTACAAATTGAAGCTTATGAACTTCAACAACAGAACAGAACAGAGAAGGTGATGAGAATCATCAAGTTAAAACTTAACAATGAATGAGCTTCCAAATGATACATCGAGGACCAAAAATGGAAGAACAATAATTTCTAGAAAGGAAAAGACAATGGCGAAAGGCCTTTAGCTACAAGCTTCCACTAAGATCCATTTCCTTGCAAAGACTCGTTAGGTCAGGAATTACTCCTCCATCACAATACCTTACGATCCCATCTCCCACGAGATCAGTTAATAGATCAACTGCTTCTTTGGAGCCGCCATGTTGTAAAAATTTTGTTCTCAAGGCAGTTCCTGTGTTTCTTGAAAGAGGATCCTCCTGACAAAGCTTCTCCCATATGGTTGCAGAAAAACATTTCGCATAAAGGTAGCTGTAGTAACCTGTAAGAACAGACCTGTAAATATCTCACACCACAGAGATGAAATGAACATTCCATGATTGATTCATATAAACTGCTACTCAGGGTACTGGTTCAGCCGATAGTTGATTTCACAACATGAATCCAGAATTCGGGTATGATATGACTAAAGTTGAAGTTGCATAGAATTTGGATTTTCCATTTCTTGGAATGAATTGTTTATGGAAAAAAAGAGAGATAAGGAAATTATTTGGATAACTCAATTGCATGCTGTTTAAGTTTTTGTAAAATCTTAGTAAAGAAAAAAAAAAGCAATTCAAGTTGGTCCAGGAAATAGTTTAGGTGGGTATTTTGGTTATTATGAACTCCAATCTACAATTACTATTATGCAAGCATGCTCGAATGGCTTAAGAAATTAGCACTTATTAGTTAGAATGATGCCAAGAGAATCGATACTCTTTGTTCCTCGATCCAACTGGTAGCAAAGAGATCAAATCGGTCACTCGAGATTAGAGATCTCATATCAAAATGAGGAGCGAAAATATTTCACATTTCAAACTGAAAAATAGATAAACTTTTGCTACCTGCACCATAAGTCAGGAGGTGACAAAATCGGGTCTGCCAATGAGTGTCATCCACATGCTTCCAATTAGTATATTGTCTTTTTAGCTCTGCAACAACAGAACTTGTATCTCTCTCTGAAGTTAACCTTTCTCCAAACAGTGTTTGATCAATTAAAGCATAAAGAATCTGGTAACCGAAGAGACAGGTAAAAATTGGTTAGTTCAGATTGAAATATAAGCTATGCTCAAAGTTAACAATACCAGCAACATGCTACCTGACGCTGCAGTTCAGTGGCTTCAAACATCTTTTTGGCACCCTGCATTGACTTTACAAGCTTTTCAGGAATTATATCACCAGTTGAATAGTGCTTTGCAAATGTTCTCAAAACACGATAATCTGATGCATAGTACCTAGTCATCAAATATCGGTGATAGCTCTTATGAAGCAACAAGAAGCACAGAGCACCGCTCATATAAAAAAATGACTTATAAGAGAAACAGTTCGTCAAGTTATATGTACAAGATTACACACTTGAACAACTTATTCTAGACAGCAGGGTGATTTTATCCATGCTGTTGGCTCATTACCTTTATCATCATATTTACAAGAGAGTAATTATATAAATTTGTTGATTTATTATCTCTTACTAAGAATTTAGACTAGGACATTCTGGACATTTTTTATTGCGTAATTTGACGTTCATATACGATAAAGATAAATGGGCATCTTTCTTAGAAAAGCCATAGTAAACACATTATAGCTTAAGTATAAGAATAATTAAGCATAGAGGTGATTCAAAACCTTTATACGATCTTCATAAACCAAAAGGCAAGAAATAAGCGGGACATTTCTACTCACTCAAATAGGTTTGAAGGTGTCTCTGCCAGATCAAGAACCACTCTTGTACCTGAAAAATGTTGATATTCCTGCAGTAGTTGAGAACTGATGAGTTGTATAACAAGAAACAAAGAAACCCAGAGGAGGTGTTAGACATGTCTGTTCAAGAGTAAAGAATCAGCACAAACCGTTCTTGAAAGCAGTGAATGAAGAGCATGTCCAAATTCGTGGAAAAGAGTTTCTACTTCCGAATGATTAAGCCTCACATTTGATCGACCATGGGAACTGGAAAAATTGCAAACAAGAGCTACAACCTGCACATAACCAGTACAGACTTTTGATTTGGAAGGTCACTAAATCAGTCTACTGCTTTACATTTCTAAAAACTTTTTCCTCATGAGCCTTCTTAAATGCATATATTTTTAGCATTAAATTATAAACCTTTTGGTTTTGATTACAAGTTGAAAGAGAACACGCAAGACCATTAAATTAGCCAGACATTAGTCTAACATTAGCAAACAAAAACCATAAGCACGTTCCCATCAGGGCATACACCATCATAATAATAAGCAATGTCAATCCCCTTCACCGTACAATGAACTTTCTATCTCACATTAGAAGCATAAGTAGATTTTCACATTATTCTCAATTACAGCATGATTAATAATAGCTATAAGAGGATTCCGTGTCTTTGCAATTGTCCAGAAACAATAATTGAAGCATCCCAAAAATGTTTAACCAGATACAGGCATACAGCTGTAGGACGACGTATTACAGAAATCAAAAGTTGCTATCACGTATGAAGTTCAATTCTAATACATACAGGAAGTTGGTATTCCATTTCAGAAACCTTGCGGCCTCCCCTAATTGCAAAATGAGCACAACCTGGATATTTTCCTTTTCTTGAGTACAAATCCAGGTATAAATATCCCAAGTCACCCTGAAACAGAAATATGGTGGCACTATGAGTTTGGAAGTAATTTTGATGTTTGCAGAAAGGGGGGAAAGTTTAAGTATGTGCATCAATGAAAACTTTTAAGTGAAAACTAAGTTGCAAAAACTGTCCGCACCATAACTCATAAACTGAGCCCCGAGGATTTGATCTCAAGAGACGGTCATGTACATCCTTTCAAGATTTGATCTGGTAGTTTCTCACTTCAGGACTATAGATGTGATGGAATCTCTAATATTGATTAAAAATATTTATCTTTGAATATATGAATCACAAACGATTATCACCACAGTCTCCACTTTGTTTCAGGGGAACTGGTGTTGTTCCAGAAAAGATAGAAACAGATTTAATGATACTCCTCCATCCAGAAATCATAACTGCTTCCTACAATTATAACTACAAAGATCATCGTGATTACCTTTCTTTTAAAAAAAAAGTACCATGCACCTTTTTACTCACACAAGAAAATGCTCACATTAAATAAACATTACTAATTGTAATAATTCCTAGTAACCATATTAAGTATTGGGGCTTTGTACAAAACGGAAATCAGAAAACTTAATGGATGAAGTTTCAGTTAACAACAGTCTAATTCCGTTACAATTTATAACCAACGAAGAAGAAATCTACAGTTAATATTATGTAGTATATACCTCTTCAGGATGATGAAGAGACAATTTAAGCACGTCAGGATGCCATGATTCACCTGGTGCTAGGGGAATACTATAAAAGGATGCGCCAAACAATGACTCCACGAGAATTTTCAAACCCTCAATACACTGTGATAAAGGAAAGTATGATGCTACAACCTAGAAAAAGAAGAGAGTGCCATAATAATACTAGCAGTTAGGAGCATGAAAAGGATACTATGAGAATCTCAGTGGACAAAAAAAAAAGCGTCAAAGAACCCTGCTTTACAAATGTGAACAAGGAACAACGTTGCACATTTTTTTTTAAAGAAAAAAGAGAGAGAAAGAAAGAAAGAAAGAAATAGAAGATGTAACTTGCCGATGAATCCAGGTTATATGCAGTAGATTTCATCATTGATGTATAGTAAGCCTCATCCCATGGTTCTAAATCTTCAGACTTATTAACGCACTTCTTTAACTTAAATTCCCTGATTTGATTGAACTCCTGAAGGCGGTTACAACTTCTTGTTAAAATATGAAAGCAGAAGTTCAACAAGTTATGATGACAGAGAAACAACGGTTCCATGCCTTGCAAATTGCAAAGTCTCAAAAAAAAAAAATTGAAGTACCTCATCGGCACAGGGACGGACTACTTTGCTCAACTCTTGCAAAAAGGACATTACCACAGCTGGAGATGAAGCCAAGTT